TAATTTCAATCTAGTGGGATATGCTGATACTGATTATGCAGGTTTTCTTGTGGATAGAAAGAGCACCTCCGGTATGGCACACTTTCTTGGCTCATGTCTTGTGTCTTGAGCCACCAAAAAGCAAAATTTTGTGGCCTTATATACTGGTGAAGCTGAGTATGTTGATGTTGCTTCATGTTGTGGATCAAACATCAATTAATGGACTTTGGAATTGATGTTCGTTGTATCCCCATATTTTATGATAACACTATTGCAATTAGTATGACCAAGAACTCGGTCATCATAAGAGAACTAAGCACATAGATGTTAGGCATCACTTTTTGAGGGACAACTATGAAAAGGGTTTGATCACTGTGAATTTTGTGCTACTGGCAAGCAAATGGCTGACATCTTCACAAAAGCTCTAAGTGGAGATCATTATGAAAGGAACAGGTTAGAACTAGGGATGTTTAAGTTCACCTAAAAGGACCAGTTTCAAAATTTAACAATCGAAAAAAAAAGGAAAAAATTTGAAAAAAACTGTAAAATTTTGGACATAATTAGATTAGATTTTTCTCAGTCTCATACTTTTAATAGTATACTCTTGTGCCATGTGTTAAAATGACTTATTAATCACTAATGATATTATCTCCATTTTCTTGGAAAATTTAGACTTACACAAGCGAATTCTCAGTGAAGAACTTGGTTCATTAAGACTACTCGGTATGTTTTCTACACTCTGCATACTTGGAAATAACTTTATTTGGATCGTGATTAAAAGCAGAGTCCATCTAATCCAAAATCCTTTTTGGACTTATCCATTACAAATGAACCAATTCCTTTCCAAAGAGTCCTAACCGCATTAAGTGCCTAGATTCTAGGGACAATCTTGAATGTCTTTTCAAATTGACTTACAGTTTAATTAGACTTCTACAAAAGCTGTCGTTACTCAAGTAAACCCCTCCACTTTATATTGATTAGGAGTTATCTATTTCTTCACTTCTAAACTTTTAAGCCGTCTAAATTCTCTCAAACTTCTCTCCTTCTCTACTCTCACACAAACTCGTTTCTAAAGCTTCCAGACTCAGCAATGGCAAACCCTTCTGAAAATCCTTCATCCCTACCAAAGAAAACCACACCCACACCATCTATCACCCCTTCAACCATACCAACTTTCAAGAAAAGAGTAATGATGATGGCTCGCAAGGTTGTCGCTGGTGGAGAGCAGATCAAGAAAATAAAGAACAATTGAAAGCGGGTAGGGAAGAAGAACCCTTATAAATCTGATGAATGGTTCAAATCTGCTACTGAAAGGGGAAGAAATCATTTCTTCTGAGAATGAACAGCTAACATCTGGCCCTAAAATTACTCCTGAAACTATCTCTGAGGTTGCTACGAATTCGGAGCAGAGGTTTGTGCTGGTACGACTTATAGCAGGTGTTCAAACTACTATGTCTGGAAGGGTTGGTGGAAAAAATGAAGAAGGAAAAGAAAAGGAGAGTGAGGGTGCTCGGAGTGTTGTGAGGGGAAAGGGAAAAAGAGTGGTTGATTCTATACCCACTCTTGTTAGTCTAACCGAAGAAACAGGTGTAATGGTTGTTTGGGGAGAGGAATTTGCTGGAATAGAGGACAGTGTGAGAAAAATAAGGGGAAGTAGGTCTGGTGAAGCTGCTGAAGGGCTGGTTCAACTTGGGAAAAATATAGATGAACATGTTCCATCTGAACAGGAAACCGTCGCAGACCTACTGAAAAGAGTGACCGAGAGTTATAATCCAAAGAAGAAAGGAAGTTCAAAGGATAAAACTCCTGGCACTGCTAGGGCAAACAAGAAAAGGAAAGTTGCCCCTTCTGTCACTGTTGAAATTCCTCCCACAAGAGGAAGAGCCACAAGAAGCCAGAAGAAGTAGAATAAGGCAGAACTGGAGAAAGCCTTAGAAGAAAGTAGAAAAAAAGCGGCTGCTAAGGGAAAGAAGAAGATGGGTGAGCCTGTTGAGGCTGTTGACATTGATGAGATGGACCTCGTCCTTCGATATGAAGATGAGACAGAAGAAGTTGAAGTTTCTGACTGCTAAAGCCAAGAACGCCAATACTTCTACTAAGAAGTTTGTTTCAGAGTCAAAGTCCGCTGAACCATCCACTTTATCAAAAAGAACCAGGTCTATTGTGAATCAAGAAAAGTGAAAATTATGGAGGAAGAAGAATGGAGTGGAGAGGAAGAAGAAGATGATTCTAATGCTGAGAAAGACAAGATGGTCAAATTTGGAAAAAGGGCTATCTTGAAAGGCAGACTCCTCAGAGACTTGGATGAGGAAGGAATGGTGCTACTTTTGGAAAAGTTAAAATTGTAAGGCTGGAAGGACATGGTCCTTCAGAAGGATGGCAGGCTGGCAGAAATGAAATTGTAGAGTTTATGGCCAATTGTGAGATAAAAGATGAAAGGGTCACCAGTGTGGTCAAAGGAGTGAAAGTCACTTTTATGCAAAGAAGCTGGGAGTGATCTTGGGTGTACCTGTTGAAGGGTACAGTGACTATACGAAGCTCAAATGGCCAAGCCTAGAGAATCTCCCTACTGCCCTTGCCATTGCAAGAAAATTCAGTAACAATGAAGAGGAACTTGAGCCCAAGGGTGTCTACAAGAGCGAGATGAAGCCACCCCACAAAGTGTTGTTCGAATTTGTAAACAAATGTGTGCTGCCAAGGCAGGAAAGGAGGCACATTGCCACATTCATGGACTTGGCTCTTATGGAATGTTTGGACAGTGGGAGGCAAATTAATTGGCCTGAGTTTATAATCCAACTTCTTGATAGGGTTTTAAATGGCACCAAGACTCATGCCATACCCTATGGCTTTATTCTCACGGTTGTACTTGCACACTTCAAGGTACCCATTAAGAAATGAGAGGTTGGTACAAGCAAGGATCATTTGGGGCAAACACTCTAACTGCTTGTAACTATGAAGTCTAGACCACTCCTAAAGAACCTGGTCATCCAAGAAGGTACCAGTGAACAGCAAAGTGCGAGCTTTGGTGCAAGAAAGTGGGGCTAAGGATGCTGAGATTGATAGCCTGAAGAAGAGGTTGGCAGAGGTGGACTTAGAGAGATGCTCTCAGAGCTGAGCTGGCAAAAGAAAAAGAGAAGAATGATGACATTCTTCAAGATATAATCAAACTGCACCAAGCAAAAAACCAAGAACCTGGTCCTTCCCAGCGTTAAGCCTCCTAGCCTAGTGTAGATCAACCAGTGACCCAGTTCGGGATTTTATGTTTCTTTTGCTCATGACTCCAATATTTTTATTTCTTCTTATGTTTTGCGGTAGGATCATATCAATGATCTATGAAATTCACTGTCTTTTGCTCTAAATGTTTGTTTATATTTCTTAGATGGTAAATACCCTTAGGTTGATATATGATGATTAATCCATGATTGCATTTGAAGTAGCCCTAGAGGCCATGAGTAATTTTTAAAATTTGGTTATCTTACTTATTTATGCAACTTTTTGATGATGCCAAAATGGGGGAAAAGGTTGTGCTTTGAACAGTGATGTTTATAACTTAATGAACCTGGTCCTTGACGATAAATGATAAAAAGTTAAAATTTTCTAACATTGTGTTGATGTTGAACTAAGTTGAAACAGGGCCTACGCTTATGAAAAGCACAGAGTTTGTCATCATCAAAAAGGGGCAATTTGTTGGCCTAAGTGAAGTCATGTTTTGAAGATTGACGAAAGAAGCTCAGGCATGAACCAGGTCCATCCCATGTGTACACAGTCACGGGCAGATTCGAGCATAAGGCAAGCACGTGAAGGAGATAGCTTAACTTGATATATCTGATATCTTCTGATCGAAAAGGTTGCATAATTGATTAGGAGAATGAATCCTTACTCAAAGAGAACACTATCTAAGATAAGGGAGGAGTTAGAACTTGAGCAAAACTAGAACTCTTCCACCAAGGAAGAGTAGCATTAAACTCTAATTGTTTTCTATTCTACTAACTCTATAAATCGCAGGATGTTCTCATTTTACAGGTACGCACAAATGCTGAAGTTAAACGTGATTTGATGGCAAAATAGCAAGGCATTTTGTGAGCAATTTTTGTGTGATTCAAGTATGCGAACCTGAAGCTACATGAACCGGATAGAAGAACCAGTTCCAAGTGTCTGTCTTTTATTCTAGTTCAATTGTAGTAGGTGTTTCATATTGTACCTTTCAGCTTTATCTAAAAGCAATTGTAATAGGTACTTTGAGTATTCAAATTAGAGTTTACTTGAAGTTGTCGCAACAATTAGAGGCTGGATGCCACATCAGAATTAAGAGTTAATCCTTAGGTTTACAAAGTAATTTATAAATGCTATTTTGGCTCAGTGTTAGGGAAAATCCTGCTGAGTAGTAGGTCATGGTTTTTTCACCTTTTGAACCAGGTGTTTTCCACGTAAAAATACTTGTGTTCTTTACTTTCCGCATTTACTAGTTTAGCAACAGTAGGTTAAGGAACACTTAGAAGAACCAAGTTCTTCTATAATTAGTGCACACGAAAAATTGAACACCACACAAATCACCCCCCCCTTGGTATTCAAGTTAAAACATTAGTAATGACTCTTAACTTGCTTTGTATGAATAAAAGTCTTTTATTACACTAAAAAATATCAGGAGATGCATGTAGCTCTAAAACTTAAAGCAGAAGGAGGCCGAAAGAGAATATGGAGGATCATGTATATATAACTACAGATAAAGAAATGCCATGAAAAAGACTAAATTGCCAACTGATATTGTTCTGCACAATGGAGCCATTCTATCTGCAAATACTTTTAAATATAAGTATCTTGTAAATTGTAAAGATCTCCATTTCAGCTTGAATAACTGATTATAAGCTATCGGAATGACAACTGTAGTTTAACAAAGTTGTGTTTTGCATAATAAGCATTTGGTTCAATGAAGCTTGATATGGATTATGTTACAAGGTAAACCGTGAAACTTTAAAAGAAAGTCAGGAGATCCATATAGCCCTAAGGACAAAAGGAGATCATTGGAGAATTTGCAAGATCATATATAACTAGAGATGAAGAAATGCCATGAAAAAACGCTTAATGGCCAAGATAGTTTGCTCTGTAGAAATGGAGACAGAAGAACTACTGTAAATACTTTAAATTTAAGTATCTTGTAATCTCAGTTTCAGCTTCATCACATCGAAGAGGCAAAATTGTTCCTTTTTCCTTGGAATTTCTCTGGGTAAAAAACTGCAGCTCAGTAGGGAAATTTGTTGGTTTAAAGGTATTGAGTTTGTATTCTCTCTCGGTTCTGTTCCCACCACAGCTTTGCATGCACCTCCCCAAACTTCTCTCGGCTGTGTGAATGAAGAAAATATCATTTGCTCAACAAGCATGCCGAAATAATCAAACTAACAAGAGAATTGAGATTTTCACATACCTGAATCTAACACGGCGTAGCTCTCTAGTGCCATCAACTAGTTGTCTGATGGTTATATAGACCCCAGGCTCATCTTGTTCTACCCATTCTGACTCCAATTCACTAGCATTACTAATGGAAAGTGAAGCTTCATCTCTAGAGTCGGTGGTTGTCCTTGATGCGTCCATATATGACATGTCACCCTTTGGGAAACCAGCTGCATAGGCAGTTGATCCTGTTGGTTTATGGTAATTGCTTGGAGTCCATTCCTTGTTTGTTGCAGGAGTCATCATAGGGCTCTCCATTGCAGATCCAAGCCTCGAATAATTGGAATCTCTCTGCAGAAAAACAAATCAATATCCCTCTAATGAACAGGGTGACTAGCTAATGAATATTTAATGCGAACTGCGCAGCTAATACACATATAGAAGCTGCCCCCAACCAGGAAATCTTGGCCCTACTATTCCATATAAGGATAAAAGACACCTTACACTGGAAATCATTTGATACACTTCAGCGATAAAATTAGTGTATCGGTAAGTTTAGCAGTTCATCTATATAACTGAGTTATTTTTCATGGATGATAATAAAGAAAATGGACATCAAGGCTGTACGAAGACAAATCAATTGAAAGTGACTTACTCCATCCTCAGACCGTCCAGGCGTGTTAAGAGCTTGTTTATTGAATCTCTGAACATTATAAAGCTCCATAATTCGGTCATAATTTTCACCCCACCATCTTTGAGCTTGCCATTTGTTGAACATGTCCCGACTGAAAAAGACCAGTGATATTAATGTCCTTAAAATCAACTGTTGTTTCAATAAGGATTTGAATAATACCTGTTCTTCCACTAAGGAATGACTAAACAGACTACACTTGGACAATTCAACAGCTTATCAGGCCAGTTAGAAAGCTGATGCCTTCAATTCAATAGGTCATAAATTTAATAGCAAGTAATATACTTATGTTTCTGATAAGTCATAGTGAGAAAATATTTGAGGGCAACAGCACTAAACAAGCGAGATGGTTGAGCAGACAAAAGTGGAACAGAGAAAAGGAGAACTCAATAAGTCTTCATTTCATGAATGAAAAGGACTCAACATTAGTCTAGGACAAGCATAATTAATATATAACCAATAACAGTTTAAAGAAGCTTTCATTACAAAAGAGGTTGTTTCTTAACTAAAATTTTGAAGACAAGAAGTTGGCACAATGAAAATTCCCATAAATTTAGTTTCTAGATAGAAATGAAAGGAGATTTTTGATAGATACCTAAAGCGGATTCGTTTAAGATCATTTCCACCATTAGGGAGAGAAACAAACGTGATCTGAACACCAGGCTCGACCTGTGCTGTCCACTCTTTTTGCTCATCATTTTCCACCACCACATCACCAGACTGAGAAATAGATTCAACACCACTAAATCCTCTAGCAAATCTTGGATCAGGTCTAGGAGTCCTTAGATTTCCAGCACTTGTAAAATCCCAAGCTGGAGTAGAACTACTAGAACTTGCTGGTTGATATGGATATGGAACTCCCTCTGATATAGTATCAAAATCAGGATATGGTCTATGCCCTTTCCTGTAACCTGTTGGTGTTGTTGGCTTGCATTTATAAGCACCTGAGACTTTTAAAACAATATCCTTGATCTGCACAATGTATAAAAATCATTAGAAGATGGATTCTTGGTTTAACATTACAATGACAAATTAAAATTCCAGTTGATTTGAAACAACAAGAACTCAACCAAGTACGGTTTCCATTTGAACAGTTACTGCTGCAAGATCAGCAAGCAAACCAATAGTATAAGTATGTCATTTGTCTTGTAGTATGAACCAAAGAACAGTCAAAGCAGATTGTCCAAAAGCTAAATTATACTATTTTATAGGTCCAAAAGCAAAAATTACTGTTTGAAAGTCACTTACTTTCACAAGTTAACTTTGTGGAGTACTACTGATCAATTCAACAGTTGAACTTGTGAAGTACTAATTAATTGAGTAAGTTGACTACAGTGAATGGACAAGATATAAATGGTTGGTCATGTCAAAGATATAACATAGACAAGTCTTTGCCAGACATTCTGAGAATCTGCGCTAGTTTACATGTTACACTGTTCTTTTTTATTGGGTTTGCAAATTCGAAGTAACCCAAAATAAAACTCACTCCCACCTAAGCTGAAACTATGGTTGGTTACCTTGGAGATGTTCACACTTCACACTGGTATAGCCTATATTTTATATATATAAGAAACACATTCCATTGTTAAAGATATCCTAAGGGCTCGTTTGGTTGGAATATGATTTATACCGGTATAAGTTATGCCGGTATAAGTTATATTGGGATAAGTTATGCTGGGATTGTTGTTTATTCATTGTTTGGTATGTTGTATTAAGAATGACAATTGCATAATTTCGAAGAAGAAGGTATAAGTTATACCGGTGCTAATTACCCCACCTTCTATAAGGTATAAGTTATCCCAGTGTTAAAATTAACACCGGGATAACTTATACCTGGTTTGCTAACCAAACAGAGAATTAAGGTGGTATTAAATTTTTATACCACCCTTATACCTTCTTATACCTCGTACCAAACGACCCCCAAGTTGTGTCATCTTTAGGGATAGAGGCGCAAATTTAGGATCTAAAAAATCAGTAAGTTCACAGCAGATGTGAAAGATATATATATATATATATTAAATAAATTGTATACGTATACGTAGTTCGAACCTAAACTAATGTGCTCAGCTGAACTCACATGTTTGTGCTAAATTTTCCTGTGTGTGAGCATCTTTTCAAGATATGTGAAGAAGTTTAAATACTATTCCTATCAGATGGTTTTTGGTGGGGACATTTGGTATACTCCCTCTTATATGTTATACGTATTAAAGTTTCCTAAGCTTCTTACCCCCTTTAGTGGTCAAGCTGGTTTGCCCAACCAACTTATAATATTGTTAGTTTCAAAAACGTTGAGATGAAAATGGATGAGATTAGAAAAGTCTATTATAATTGGAAGATGATGAAAGAATAAACAGGACCACTAATGAAAGCAAACTAAAGCAGGAACATTATGGGACCAAGAATTTAGACGCATGATCCAAGAAATAACGTGAACATGACCCAATCTACATGTTCACCTATACTCTCTTCATGCTATAAGCATAAAGGGGTGGGGTCAATAAATTAAAAGTCATATTATAGGTACCATAGTGCCCACAAATAAAAGACTTATTTAATCTTTGGAGTCACTGTGTTTTATAGGCACATTCTATGGTCCTCACTCACTCCTCTCCTACAACCCCCGCGTGACTAAACAAAATGTTCATTTCATTGTTCTCTCCTAATCCAATGTCCAAATATACCCCAAATCCAGCTGGGAAATGTGGGCCCAAAAGGTTCAATTGTGGTTCCCACTAAAGAGATTATTGGCTAAAGCGACACTTCTCGTACTAAGGGTCGCCCAGCTTTGGGCAAAGAAGAGAAAAAGAAAGTAAACAAAACCAGAAAAATACTAGTATCCTTTCAATTTCCAAACGCTTTGACATTTTTTTTTGACATCATTTTATTTTTATTTAATTTCTGTAATTCTTTTGGATTTTGTAGCCCCAAGAATGCTTGAGCTAGAATTTCGAAAAGCTTATGCTACATTAGGTCCAACAATTTTACTAGGATAAGCAGTGTTTAACACTAGTTAAAACAAGTAATGAAGCTATAAGGCCCATTCAAGTGATATCGAGAGCCCGTGCAAAGGTTTTGGTCAAGCTATGTCAGTCCACCAAATAATGGAACTTAACTAAATACCTCTATCATAACTTTGAAATCACACACACTAATAATCCACTCTTCAAATCCGAAGCAATGCGGAGCTACAGTACCGGGAGCGGGTTCAGGCGAATACAGTAACTTTGATTCAAATTTTGTATTTGTTTTTATAATCTATTGAATATATATAAATTATTAATTTAGAACCCAATAATTTAAAAGAATTAGAATCTCGAACCCATAAAATTGAATTCCTAGCTCCGCCTCTGCTCAAAAGGACAGCCTTAATAAATAATCAAATATGATATTCGGGGAAGGGGTCAAATTGGTACTTTTTCCTACATCTCCTCCTCTTGTTAAATCTTAAACTTTAATCTCTTAATGGAATTAAATTTAATAAAGGTTTAAAAAGGATAGGTTTTTAAGAGAGGACCTGGGCCGTGAGGCTTTTGACGGAGTCTTTAGTATTGGGAGTAGGACGGGGTCCCTCTTCACCTCCATCATCGTCTATCTTTTGCTTACACGTGATACACGTCAACATCTTCTCCTTCTGCTCTCTCTTTTCCCTTTTCTTTTCTTCTCTTTACAGTACCTACAATTTAAAACATACAATAAATAAGCCAAAAAAAAAATTACCCATTTATCAAGTAGTTTAGTATACACTTTGTTATTTTGCTCTGAAGAATCATAATACCTTGTAAATATTGATTTCTCTAGGTTAATATCTTAAATTATTCCAAGATGGCTTTCCCTTAAAAGAAAAAGAAAATGTTATAGATGATAAATTATTCAAAGAACCGCCATCTTGACTAACAAATGTTTTTTTAGAGAAATAAATGGGATGCCCATCACACAGAGATTATTTAGGGAAACAATCTTCCTTTTCATTTCACATAATATCTTTTCCAAAATAAGCCTAACGTAAGATTATAGAATATTTTTTAAAGCACACAAGACAAAGTAAATAATACTTTCACCCCTTATTTTGGAAAAAAAAGAAAATGTACAACCTTAATTTGAACAAAAAGATCAAAAATGCTGACTCAAATCTTGAAAATGTGAAGTTTATGGAGAAATACCTGACTGTTATATCAAAATAACTTGATCAGAATAATGAATAAGCCTATAAGCCAAAGTTATAATTATCTTCTCTCCCCACCCAAAAGACAAAATTCGCAAACAACAGAAACAAAAAGAAAAGAAGTTAAAGAGACAAAGAAAGAAAAAGAGAGACAAAGAAACCTTCGGATCAGAGGAAGTACTGATAGAAAAGGGAAAGAGAGAGAGTTTATTAAAGAAGAAGAAGAAAGACTAAAAAGAACAGTCAATAATTGAATGCCCAAAAGAAATATCAAAGTGGTCTCATTCTGTTCTTGCTTTAATATCTCCACACCGAATAAAGAAAGTTCATAATGAAAACGAAAAAAAAAGATTTAAACCAAGAAATCATTCAAAATCATCTTCTTCTTTTTTTTTTTTTTTTCATTTTCTCAGTATACAGAGCCGAATTTTCTGACAGATTATTCATCATCATTAATCTTTATTAATAAATTATCACACCCTTTTGCTTCTTCATTGCGAGGAAAAAGAGAAAAAAGTGTAAAGTGTAGCAGTTGTAGCAGCAGTAGTAGTAGGATCGGTAGAGCAGCAGAGTAGGAGTTGAAGGCGAAAGAAGGGGGAAAATCTGGTTGGTTGAATGAATGATAAATCGCTGTAGAATTTAATAAACGTTGTCGAGTTTTGAAAGCGGCAACTGATTCTACAAACAGACAAACCCCATTTAACCATAAAACACTCTTGATGGCGACCCACCAACCCCACAAGAAAATCACATACTCACTTCATTTTATTTTTGTTTGGCATTGTTTGTTTATTAATCAAACTCAAAAAAAAATGATATATTAGTAATATTTTCTTAACAAAAAACTTTTAGAATCACATAAATATTATAGTATGTTATACTAGTATTTAACATTACAAGTTTAAAAAATCTCATGACCATACAAATGTTATTTTTAAACTCAATACCGAGTTAAACTATATATGTCAGACAAATTGAATATTCATACCTCAAAATGGATAAAAGAAGTTTCAGCAACTGAGCTAAAAGACACTGAAAATGGCTTCTATCTTTTTTGCTTGTTTGGGTTACCCGTTTGCGAATCTTGGTTAAAATCAAATCATCATAAATACAGCTGCATTAAAGAATCTTGGTCGGAAATATTGGCCGGAGCTGGCTAGTCTCCGGCGGCAACTAGAGGAGGAATTTCAAATGCAATGCTTGTAAACGGAGGAAGTTTCAGATTCTCCGCTGCAGGTTTTACGTTAACATATAACTATACAAATATGAAGCAGAAGAACATAGAGAATACATGATAATGGAAGAGAACAAATACAGAGTGCAGACGAAGTAAGAGAACAACTTTAGATAAATACTGAGGTATTTATAGAGGGACGTGACCCCGTCGTTATATAACGGAAACCGTGTATTTTGTATATCGGATATAAGGGGGTTATTGTGCCATGTTGGGCTGTACGTTGTTCATTAGGGTTTGGACTTTGCTGAGGGTTTTGTCATTTAGACAAATGGGTTTAATGTGGTCTTGATTGGGGAGGACATGATGGGCCCATATGTCGAGGTGGTACACGTGGCACTGTGTCAGTTGATTAGAAGCATTAAGGGAGTGGATCAACATATACATATGCTATTAGTTAGAATCATTGAACCATAATACATCATCTACTGCTATTAGTTTTAATTATCTAAACAGTTGAGATTACAAAAGAAGATGAAGGATTTCAATATGTTAAATTTTGGGTATTTTGAATGAATAAACCAAAAAAAAAGAAAAAAAGAAAAAGAAAAAAATACTTAATTAAAAAATAAGAGGGATACTATATAAGTCTACAAACTCAGATTTGAACCTCTAACTTACATGTAGTCAATTGCTCAAATGGTCACTCAACTATCTCAAATTATCTTCTAAAGTCACTTTTCTTTCGTTTGTAACAACAAAGTCACGGAACTATCCCTATTGCACTCAGAAGGTCACTCAACTAGATTTTCTAAATTTTAGATTGCCAAATACCTATTTTTTATATACCCTCTAAATTATAAACATTTATCTTCTTTTTATTTTCTTTAAACTTTTTAGTATTAACAACCAAAGTTCAAAAAATTATTTACACAATTCAGAATGAAAGAAATAAAGGTTGTAAAATATATATTTCATGCACGTAATATAAAAATAATTATTTAAATAAAGATATTTTTGTTAATATACATTATACATTCTTGAAAATTATGCTCAATTATATTATTATGTTTCTACCAACTTTCTGACGACACAAAGTTATGTCACCGGAAAGCAGGGGGACTATCTCTATAGGGTAAAATATGCTATGTCAAGTCGTGCATGGAATATATATAATATAATTGAGCATAATTTTCAAGAATATATAATGTATATTATAAAAATACCTTTATTTAAATAATTATTTTTATATTACATGCATGGAATATATATTTTACAACGTTTGTTTTCTTTCATTCTGAATTGTGTAAATAAATTTGAATTTTTGTTGTTAATACTAAAATTATTATTACGAACAGATTATTCTAATTAATTTTTTTACTATGCTCATTATTTTGATATTCCAACATTATATATGCTTAAATACTTTTTACTTTTTTTAATTTATAAATAATATTTACTTATTCTAGAGGTAAGTACATAATGTAAATTAAAAAGAAAAAAATTATTATATATTAAAAAGTTTTTTTACAAAAAAAAAAAAAGATAAATGTTTATAATTTAGAGGGTAAAATAGGTATTTAGCAATCCAAAATTTGCAAAATCTAGTTGAGTGACCTTTTGAGTGCAATAGGCATNCGTAAAAATGGGGGGGGTGGGGGTAAGGTAAAGGGTTTCTGATACATCTGGAAAAATCGAAACCAAGACTAGGAATTTTTAACAAACAGGGTCAAGAATCATTACTCTTTCGTTTCGACACAAGAAAAAAGGATTTTTCTACACCCCTTTCTTGTGTCGAAGACTAGGAAGACAAATAATCCCTCCTAGAATTTTTTGTTCCCCACATTTATGCAATAGGCATAGTTCAGTGACTTTGTTGTTACAAACGAAAGAAAAGTGACTTTAGGAGATAATTTGGGATAGTTGAGTGGCATTTAAATAATGGACTCTTTTCATGTAAAGGTGCACCCAATAATTATTGGACCATAGGACTCCTTGAATTTGAGGGCACACATGTATATTTAGTTTTTTTTTTTATTTAAAATGTAACATAATTATATATGGTATCGAAAGAAGAGCGTGGACTCACATGCCCCATGCTACAACACATAAATATGCCCTGTACGTGATAATATATACGTACAAAAGTATGACATATATAAATACAACATATAAACCATTAATGTTTCGATCATTGAAATATATCAAGACACTGGCTTTTATGTTAAAAAGGAAGCGTGTATGCTTTTACCATTTTAGAATTTTCAACAGATAAACAGTATAGCTTTCCAAATAGAATTTATAATTTCACGTACATCTTTAATTTTCTTTTTGCGCATATTCTATTTTTTTTTTTTTTTGAAAGTCTAGTCTTTTCATACATCTTTTAGTTGCCTTAAACGATACAAGGTTGAATGAACATAATTGATGTCGTCAATATTCTTTTGTTACATTTTTTCAGTTTTGGCTTCTCTTAATATATGTTCCACTGAACAATATCAACAAGCAATATGTCCTTAATAGAGTAAAAGATAATGTGTTAACACAAAATCATAAAAAAACATTTTTGAAAGTGTGTATATTTGAAAGTTCCTGTTGTCCATTTCATATATATTGTTTCTTAACATGAGGATTGCACTTTTTATGCTGTATAGAGAATTCGTACTTTTAGGTAAAATAATAAATATCATAAATTAACCGAATCGATATTGATACCACTGAGACGGAAAATTTTATTTCGTGTCTCATACAACTGACACTAGTTGTATGAGGCATCTTTTTTGTCTCACATTTTGTAAACCTAGATTTTGTGGACCCGGAAGTGTAAGATCTGGGGTCCACAAATTTGTGAGACAAAAAAAGAGCCTCACACAACTAATGTAAGTTGAGTGAGGCACACAATAAAATTTCTCCCACTGAGACTACTAGAAAAGTCTAATTTCAATTGTAAAAAATCAACTAATCAAAAAGTTAGTATATGACATATTTTTAAAAATAGCACGCTCAATCGAAACACTGACATCTCTATTTGTTATGATATAATTGTTTGATTAAAAAGTATTAGGTATTTTTGTTAAACTAATTAAATAAGAAGATTTGGGGCAAATCCTAGCCAGAGACAATTTATTCTATATCTGAGATAGAAGATAGAAATAAACAAATATAGCTGAACATATAATTTGATTACAGTTGCGGTTGAATTTCGTAATGTAAGAAAAGGATGATTGCTCCAAATGATAATGAAGAATACACAAATGAAAAGAGTCACCATTCTTGAACAAGGCCGACCTCCGTACATTTGATAATGCTGAATTTCAGATGAATACCGAGATTCAAAGCTCTTTTCTCCTTTTTCGGCGAGGAGCCTGAGATCAGGGAACATCTTCCCCCTTAGAGAGATGTATATGTTTTTGTGTGTGTTCCTATCAGCCCCCTCCTTCTATTACTCTCTCCTATAATATTTATACAAAATATTTCCCTTACCCAGAGGTCCTTAACCGGAATACCTATGTTCTTGGAATGTCCTGTAGAATATTCCTCTAAAATATCTAATGAGGGGTAAAAAGAGGTGTGAGATCTCTCACACCCCTTTTTTAACCTCACATAACCCTCTTAAAAATAATAAAAAGATTTTGAAGCTCGAAAGTGTTTCAATTATGAAAGTGACAAAGAATTGTGTTCAAAAGAATTTTGCAGAGTTGCCACCTGACATTTGGTTTCGGTGTGTCAGGTCACAATTTTTTTAGAAGTAATTTTTCCTTTTAAAATACTTTGGACTCCAAAACTAAGTCTGCACCAGAGTTCTAGGTAAGAAGGTTCATTTGATTCGGGGAGAAGGTGTTAGGCATTACCCGAGTCCCGTGAAAATCACGGTTCCGTACTCAATCTAGTCCGCTTTTAAAATATTCAAATTGATGTAAAAACACCCAAAAAGAAAATAAACAATAAGAAGAGCCTCGAGGTCGTCCCCACCTAATTAAAGGAAAATAAAAATAAGAATAAAGTACTATAAGTTCTGCTTTCGGTCTCCAACTACAGAATACTACGGGGCATTTTCTGGAATAAAATATATACAAATCCTTCGGGGAATTCCTCGGATAAATTTGACTAAAAGAACAACCTCTCACCTCAAAAGCTAACAAAATCCTAAGGCTTGCCTACCCAAGTGTGGTCGGCCTAAACATGCTACTAGTGATCCAAACAAATAAAGTAAAACAATTAACATGATATATTCAATCTTCATTTTTGTTGTCCACCCCACGTTCAAAACAACAAAAATGCTAAAATCCATAGCTAACATGGATCAAAACCAGAAAAAGCTACTTGAGATTTTCATGACTCGCTCAATCCCAAAATCCTTAGAGCATTATTTTTCTTTAAAAAAACTTAGCGATGGACTAATGGTTCAAGAAATCAGCTAAGAACTAGGAATATAGCCTGCATGGATTAATATACTTCATGATGACATGTCGTGTTAATGTCAGTCAAATCAAATCCAGAAATGTATAAAAAGTGCAATGAGAACAACAAGTTCCTAAGGGAAAGACAAAATCCAAATTGTTTTCAGTTAAAATTCAAATGAGGATCCAAACTTAGACGAATCTAAGAGATCAGGAAACAAAAGGAATTAAAACTTAATCACAGAACAACGATTAAAGCAAGGTGAACAAACAAATTAGACCATTCATATGAGAAAATAAAAAAAAAAACGAAAGGAGCAGGGACAGAGAAGAGTTATGAGCTGAGATCCAAACCCATGAAATTAGTAGCAAAGTAAGAAGAGTATACCTCAAAGAAAGCCTTCTTCCATTAACAAGGAGAACCTCCAATTTGTTTACAGCAACGTTGAATCCCGGCAACGCGGACTTAACCTAAAAAATGGACGGCAACAATAACCCTAGATCGGAACCAACGAACGGCAACCTCGGCTCTTGAAAAACTTCGCTCAATAAAACTCCATAGTTGAGAGCCAGAATCAGGGAGAAAGAAACTGAAATGTTTGTGTTTTGTTTTTTCTGAAGCTAACAACAGTGAAAATTCCCTAGGATTAGTAGCTCTCCATTACCACCAGAAACTTTTCCGACGTCGATTTGCAAGGTGGAAACATCAACAGATGGTTACTGTGGCGGCGATGGACGTTAA